GACTCAGGCATGTAGGCCCTTGCTACCCCCCCATCTAAACCCCCCCCCTCCCGGTGCAGCAGCTCTCTTTGGCTTCCACACTCCACTGCCGTTTCCTCTGCCAGCCACCCTACTTTCTCTTTCTCTCTCTCTCTCTCGACCTTCCCCCTCTCCTTTTTCCCCTCTCTGGCTGATTACTCAGTTCAGTTGCATTGGATTAACCACACACTGCTGATTTTTTTTGTTTGTTTTGTTCGAGTCCCGCCCTGGGGTTCCGGTCCCCGCCGGTCCGCCCATGTGTTTGGAGTTTAAATGTGACATCATGGGTTCCTCCCCACAATCCAAAGGCACAGTGAGGTGAACTGGAGTTAAATTGTCCATTTAATATAAATGTGTGAGTGAATGGTGTCTGCGTCCTGCGATGGCTTGGCTCCCCATCCTGCGTTGTTACCTACCTTGTGCCCATAGTTTCCGGGATGGGCTCCGAACCCCCAGCGACCCTGCACAGGACAAGCGGGTACAGAAGATGGATGGATGGATGGATGGATGGATGGGGCTTGTCCTACCAGCTGAAGTTGAGCGTTGACAATGATGGAGTTCCTACAACTGTCAGTACAGACGCTCCTCTACTTACGAACTTTCAACTTACGAACTTTCAGACATACGAACGAAGAGGACTGTAAGTCCAAATTGTGTTCGTTGGGCTCCCGCTTCCTGTCCGCAACATCAATTTTTTATTTTTTTTTTAAATTCCACCTAGTACGACTTCTGGCTGCTACTCCCGCCGCGCAGCGGCGTAGCGTGTGTACTCCCAGCATCCTAGTTCTTTGTACTTGCGTATACCCTTAAGATGATGTTGAATAATGACTTACGAACATTTCAAGTTACGAACAGCCGTTCGGAACGTATCTCATTCGTAAGTAGAGGAGCGTCTGTATAATGTTGCCGTTTCCATGGCTTCACAGAACCCCCCACATCCAAAACCCACAGGGGGTGTCAAACAATATGTGCCCACAATTATTATGATATTAATAGTCATGTGCATGAATAAGCATGAATACACACAATCAGAGATAAAAAGAGAGGCGATGCTAATGACATAGCTATGTATTTATAAATAGACACACACGCTAATTTCCGCTTGTGAATGCAGTGCCCCTTCCGTGTTGCCCACTTCCTTATGTGTCCCATCTTTTTTGCCCTGATCTGGATGATTTAGTTCTATATTTTCACTGCTAATGAGCAGATATATCCAGCCTGAAAGGTGTCCCAGCCAGTAGGCCAACGGGAACCTCGGGGGAGGTGCAGGAGGTGCACAGAGCAGGCCCCTCCCCCTCGGCAGAGCACCTGTGTCATTCCTCCAGCCCTCCTCCTGGACCCTGCTGCCCTCCTTCTGCACCCCACCCGGATAAAGGCCCCCGGAATCGACGCGCCTGGGAGTCAGGGCTGCCAACCATTTGTAAATTTACAGACAGTCCATATTAAATTTACCCCGTCTGTAAATGAATTTGACTGTCCGTAAAACCAAAAAAAAAGTCTCAGTAAGAAAAGAATCGCATGTCGGTAAAAACAGAAAGACTTCTCAGTTTGTCAGTAAAAGCACAAATTTAAGGTGGGAACCACTGCTGAAGATTCAAATGGTGATGAAGATTCTACATCTGACCCCTCCCCCTGTGTAGGGAGTGGAGGGGTTTTTTAGAGAGGGGGGGGGTTAATGGTATGTACAGGACCATAATTTTGTCATCCCAGAGACGAGACTCTTAATTCTTTGGCCTAGCATTTAGCTACGTGCGTCAGCCTTCAGATCTGTGCCCTCTGCTATGACTCGGTCACCTCCTGTCCCCCTCCTCCTGTCCCCCTCCTTCAGAAGCGGCTCAGCCAGCCCCGTCGCCCCCATCTCGCCATATTGATCCATCTCTGGTGCCCTCAACCGTTATGGTGGTTCCTCGCTGGTGCTCTACTCGCTTTGAAGTATATGGATCAGCGAGCCTTTGAGGCTTTCTTATTCCCCCCGACCCCCACAAACCACCCCCACCCCTGCCCAGCACCAGATTGGCCAGATAAAGGACCTATATATGGGCGGGGCCACAGAAGCACTGGCCCCGGCTAAAAGCTGATTGGCCCCCATAGCACCCCATCCCCTGTCACTCACCGAATGAAAACATTTCATTGGCTAATAATAAAGTTGCCTCCTCTATATGAATTATGGCCCCTTTTGTGCCCCTAACCTTAAAAAAAATTCTTAGAATTGCCCCTGGGCCAGACCTAGGTTGGCGTGAAAAAGGCGCCGGCTTGCATGTAAGACGCATTAGCACAGCCCCCACGGAGGGGCTGACACTCGACTCACAGAATAAAACGCGGATAAACGGGAGCGTACCCGCAGGCCCTGTGGCACAGCGGAGCCGCTCCAGGACGGGGGCCGGACTTAACGGCGGCGCTGGACGGCGGCCATGGCGCACTGGGACCACGCAGACGCCGCCGGCCGCGGATTTAGCCGGATTCGGGATTTTCAACTCCAAGAATCGTGGAGCGGCAGGGAAAGGAGGAGAAGGGGAGGGAGAGAGGAAGGCGGTGAACGACAGAGCAGATGGGTCAGCCATCTGGTGGAGGGAAAAAGCGGAGGGAGATATAAAAAAAGAGGAAGAAGGGAGCACTGGAGAGGGAGATAAGAGGATGGAGGAGAGCGAGGCAGGCCTGTGCGCATGTGGGGGAGCGGGGGCGCGTTTGTGGGGGAGGGGCAGGTGTGTGGGGGCACGTGCGGCTGGAGAGGCAGTGTGAACAAGCCCCCCAGGTACGCTGACATGGATTCACATGGACAGGAGGCGCTGAGGTGGACTTTCCAGTTCGGGGTGGGGGGAGGGGAGGGATGTCCATGAGCTAAACACACAAACAGAGACGGGAATACTCACTTCTGCGACCGTGCCAGGTGTCCGGTGTCTTTGCCCAGGGCTGAGACAGGGCTCGTTACTGACCAGCATGGTTAATACCCCGAGATGAGGCGGGACACCCGGAGGGAGGGGCCACGCGGCTGAAAAAGGAGCGCACGGCGTCCTTTTTGTTTACCGCGTCACGCCGCGAGTCTCTCCAGACATTGTTTTGGTACTATTCATACACACAGCCTTCCTGTTGCGGCCAAGCTAACTGGGATGTTTTAAACCGAAAACAGCAAAGCAGAGGATTTAAACAAGAAGAGGAGGGGAGAGACGAAACGGGAGGATGAGGACGACCGCAGTGGGGGTGCTGTTTATCCCGTAGCGCGGCCAGCCAAACATGCACCCCGACTTCTTTCTTGGCTTTAGCGCTGACCTCTAGAGTCCGCCCCGTGTCTAGCGGTCACTTTGGAGCACGCTGGTATTGCTTAGCATGACGGGAACGCAGTACGGCTGCTCTTTGTAAGATTTTGACCTTTCTCTCCATGGCCGAGTGCAGACTCAGTCTGGAGCGCACGCACAGACATACAAAAACCCTTTTGTTTCCATCTGCAGCTTTCTGAATCTCCTCTGTCTTAATCATTCACACTCCATTCATGACTACGCCGACATAAAAGCTAGAGGCAGATGAATAAATGAAAAGCAATAACGTGTCATGAGTAAAATGCACCCCCGCTCCTTCCTCGGCTGGCAGACTCGCAAAGCCGCGCTGTCCATCATACACAAACTCTCACTCGCCAGCGGAGTTCAGTCAATACGGGATCTGCCTCGGAGATATACGACCGAGAGCCACACTTATTTGGACGGAGTATAGACATTGCTGTAAAGATAATGGCTTACAGAATCGGGATAGATGCCCAAACACTCACGCGTACAAACCCATAAAATGTGGGAGTGAGGCGACTCCCGAAACCAGGCGGGTGAGAAACGCACAGGGACGTGCGAGGGAGCCCATAAGTTTATAGGAGTCGCTTACAAATGTTGGACGTTATTTGGATAACGAGCAAGGGGAGTGGGAAGGACGGTCACTGGGGGATTCATTCTGTTTCTAGCGGCTAAAAGCAGGGCCATTAAATAAGGCTGTGTCAAACAATATGCCTGCTTCACCGTGCCGTAATGTCCGGCGCAGTAGGCTACTGATCGCTCCATACCGTTTCCACGTGTGCCAGGCTGCGCCACAGGAATCAACGACGTGCCATCTTTTACCGTACAAGAAATAATATTTTAGCATATATGTAAAGGACTGACTTTCAAACGTTGATAAAAGAAACCGCAGAAAAGGGAAGTATGACCCAACAAAGCGTTAATATTATACATCACGATCGTGATTATACAATGACTGATGTTCTCATGGTGGCACTTAAATAGCCAGCGGTCCCTGGTATATATACTCGGCTATTTCTTATTTATGTTTGCATCACATTTTTAAAGCATTAAACCGATTCAGTACAGAGCGACGTAAACGGTCCACATGACAAAACATAAAGCGCCCCCGGAGAGGTGAAATACTGGACTGAATTAGCGTCTTTAAGGCTTATAATTTACACGCAGGTTGTAAAAACACTTCTTGCGCTAAAGAGGCAGCGGAGGTGATGGGAAATAATAAGCCTTATGGAAGCGTATTTGCCAGCATATGCGCCGAAAATAAAGCGGAGAGAGGATCGAGTTGCGCTCAGAGAGGGAGAGGAGGAGAGAAAGACTGAGAGAACGTGACGAGGGAATTTAAGACAGTCGTTTTATTACGGGGAAGAGAGAGGGAGGGAGACGAGATAACAGCGTCTCCCCTGTTCTTATTAGACTCCGCTTCGTGCAGATCCGACAGGCACAAGCAGGAGGAGAAACTCCCAAAGTCGGGGTGCTCCATGCCAGGCGTCTGAGGGTAAGATGCTTAAAATCATAAAATATTATAGGAAGTGGGCGGGACGCGACTTGGAAGCGTTTAACTGGGCTATGGCAGCTGCGTTTTGCGCCGAGATTAATTTCGGGACGCGGACCTGTGAGCGTTTGTTTGGCGTAGTAGTATCCAAATATGAGCTGGCAGCATGCAACACACGGACGCGATTCATAGCAAACCTCTCATTGTGTATTTTCTAGGAAAATGCCCAAATAGTCCAAACACGTTACTGCACAAAGTGTGTATTTTGCTCCCCGACACTCCAGTTTTTAGGCAACGTCTGAAAAGTGAACGTTGCATGTAACCCGCAAACTAAAGGAGTATATATAAGCAGATTTGTGATTGTACGAACCGTTAGAATATTTATGTGAGGATTTCCTCCCTATTATAACATGAATGCATAGTGTCTATACGGTATGCGTGTCTATCCGTTTGAGAAGTTTAGCATTAAAGAGAAAGAGCAAAAATAATCTCAGATCTCCAAAACTCGTTTTGAAGAGACGGAGTGCATCTACTTCCTTTCACTCCTGGTAGGGTGAGTATCGGAGGTGTACCGACATTCCTCGGCTTGGTTTATGAATGCAAGTGTTTTACCTGCTGCCTTGACACACGTAATTTAGCGCGGGGGTGGGGGGTCACGCGTACTCATTTGAGATGGCAAACTCTTCATCGCGTTGTAAAGCGATCATTAATCTAAGTGATTTAAGGTTGTGGGGGCGATCGGAGAGAGTAAATGTTTTGCAAGGAAAAGAAGGACGGACAATGACAACAGGGTCGTGTCAGTTGCTGTTAACAGCTTGCCTTTCTCCGGTATGTTACTGATGCGCGTCTGTATCCTCCTGTCTGCGTGCGTGTGTGTGTGTGACAGCTAGAGAGAGAGAGGCTGCATGCCACTGGCGTGTAAACGACTTTTACTATGCGTATACGTGTGTGTTTTTATGGTGATTTATCTGCGATCTTCTGCGTCCTACGCGTGTTTATGTCCGTCCTCGGTCAAGGTGTGTGCGTGTGCATGCCGCCTGCGTGGAAAGCAGAAAAATAAATGGGGCATTTAATAACGCATGCCCCGTGTCGCCGGCGACAATCTGTTGATGTTGCTTATGCGTGTGATACACTGAGAAGACCTAGCATACTCCAGATCGCAGCTGGGGCGTGAAAACGAGTGTGATCGCGGACATGGGAAGGGAGGGAACGTGTATCTGTCCTCCCAGAGAGGGACAGGGGAGTTGATAACAATAGAGCAGACACAAGGACTTGGTGACTTGTGCCTGCGTAGGGACTACACGGGCAAACCGGAGGAGAGATGACTCAGACTCACTGCTTAAACACTGCCTTAGGTTAAAGCAAAGAGGGAAAGGGGCAGGTGTTTAATCGAGATTTGCATGTATGCGCCGGCTCCATCGATCAGACTGTGCCGGGTTTGTCACCTTTCGGAGGCTGATGTTTGAGGACGCTGCGCCCTCGGTTCTGTCAGGCGGCCAAACTTTCCCGTCGTGATACACCGGGGTAATTTTAACTCCGGGAAGCAGACGCTGCGTGTAAAAGCTGTGTGGAAGGTTAGGCGTCGTAAAGGATGTCTTCCTCGGCTGCCCTTGAAAAATAAAAAAAAGCCCTGAAATATAAGAGCATTACTCCTCTCCAGTTTAAAGCTGAGTTTTACAGATACTACAGAGACCGTATCTCCCCTGTCTTTTTGTATGAGCATCCAGTCTCCTTCCCGTAAGGCTGAGGTGTGACAGAACAGCACGAAGCCACAGGAGAGCTGCAGGGTTGTTGGGTGTATGTGCGTGTGTGTGTGTGTGTGTGTGTGTGTGTGTGTGTGTGTGTGTGTGTGTGTGTGTGTGTGTGCGTGTGTACGTGTGTACGTGTGTGTGTATATGTGCATGTGAGCGTGTGTGTGTGTGTGTGGTGCCCAGCATTGGCCATTTACCACAGAAGCAGCACACATGCCGTGAAAACTCTATAGGACCCAAACATGGATGTCTTTCCAATGCCAGGTTCTTGTTTCCGGATAGAAATTACGTTTTTGTTATTAAGATGCTGCAACATTTATTATGTTGTTGTTTTTTTTGTTTGTTTCTGAGCATGGGTGCCGATAGGATGAGGTGGGTAGGAAGAGCAGACTGGATGGATGCTCCGAAAAATGCATGCTGTGCTTTTTTCGGCCCAAGGGATCCTTGGCAGATTGAAGACGACCGTGATGTTTTGACACGTCCCGCTGAACGGCATCTCTGAGGGGCTGACTGGCTTTCAGAGTGTGGGGGTCTGTGAGCCCCTTCTGTGCACCCTGTCGTGCTGCGGATGGGGTGCTGCACTCGCCCCAGTATTGATTCCATGCGTGTGTGTGGTGTGGTAAATCTCTCCTGGTTCCCTGCCCAGTTACCTTTAAAAAGGCACGCAGTGCCCCTTTAAGGTCACCGTGCACAAAGACGTCCGCTAGGACACCTGTACGCCTGCAGAGACGCGGTGGCAGGAGAGATGGGGGCTAAGGTGAGGTTATGCTAATGGAGATGATGCCCAGAGATTGCTGGACTGAATCCAAGACAGTAAAACTAGACGCGTGCACAAAATATCACAGGGGACCTTGTAACCAAACAAACTAGCACTGGCACATTAACATCCCACGACGGACGTTCATTGGGGCTTCTTAACGAGCGAGCAGAGGAAGTTTGCCACAAACGGCAACCCGGTAGACGAAAGTCTCGCAGGCGGACGCCTTATTTTCAGAGCAGGTCGCTCACGTGAGGAAAATATGTGCGAAACGACCAGAAAACAACTCATTAGCGGACAAAGGGAGAGGCAGAAATCTCCCAAAACATAAAAGAACAGAAAAACAAACAAGAACAGCATCTGACTGTGTGTTTGCCTCTGAATAAATCAGCAGCTGCTGACGATAAGACAATAAGAAATAAAATAAGAGCAAGCGGAGGCCTGACAGACGGTAGCGAGCGCGTTAGCGGCGCCGTGATTCATTAATCTCCGGCGGCTCTTCCGAGGCGACAGCCACGTCGCCAGTCTGTTTATCCGCCGTCGCCGGGGCCCCGTAGCGCGGCGTCGCCACGGAGTTACCACGGTTTCCTGCCGGTCTCGATGCCACAGTCAGGCCACAAGGCTCTTCATAAGAGCTGTGGCGTGTGCAGGGACACGGGCTCTGTGTTGGACCACCATCATTAAGGTTTGCTGCTCGGTCGTTCAGCATTGCAAAAGGAGGTGCACTGAAAGGTGTCCCATCCATCCATCCATCCATCCACCCATCCATCCATCCATCCATCCATCCACATATCTAATAGACACCAGCGCTTTAATGCACAGGCTTACCCAGACTGAAACCCAGGGGCCTCTGTTAAAAAGGGGCCTATGCCCCCCCCTTTCCACTTCAGTCAACAACTACCCCCCCCCATGTGGGCTGGTAAGGGACGTGGAGAGGGGCAGAGGCGTGATGCTAACCTGTGTGAGCTTCCTGGAAGTGCGCTGAAGGTCCTTCCGCCTCGCCGTCCGCGCGGCTCTGATAAAGGGATTAATGGGTGTCGGCCTGGTTTTCATGCTTGATATTTTACTCCTTGATGAACAGAGTCCACTTCAGGATCTTTCTTTATTTTTTTTTGATGAATGGGCAATTAGAAGCCCCCCCTCTAGCCTGCTGGCCAGATAATTCCGTTTTAATAGAACTTCAATTTCTTTCACATAACTGTGATTAAAAAAAAGAAAGGGGGGAATAAATCAGTAATGCTGTCATTCCAGAGGTGCTGACGCTGCTGTTTTGGCGGCGTGTGGGTGCCGGAGGGGGGTGCGGGGGGGTGCTTGTTGCGGTTCTGGGGTTTCCAGATGGGTGCTGTATCCGGGTGTCCCCTGCTGCTGTTATTCCTGTTCCAGACGAGGGCACCGTCTCTCCACTTTCACACGGGATTCCGCCGGGTTCTCTGCTTTCCAGATCTTGGGGTGAACTGGTGACTCTCGAGTGCACAGTGATGGGGTCAAAGGCCTTGCAAACTCTCCTGGTCATGGGATTCAAACCCACAACCTTCAGGACGTGGATACAGATCCCTAACCCTACTGGGCTACATATCACCCATACCCTTCCCTTAATGGCTACAGGCTGACTGTGTATGCGGTTTCCTGTATCTCACATTTTACCCAGAAAAAGCCTTCAGTTGTTTTTTTTCCTCAGCACCTCTTTGGTACCCAAGTGTTCCTCTTCATAAGTCCATTGCACTTCATAGATCTGTGTGCTTATCCTAGAGATCTTCACGCGCCTCCTTGAGACTCGACTTTCCATCTCACCTTTCATCCCTATTCATCTGCAGGGTTCCCATGGGAGCCAGACGCCCTCCGGTGCGGCGGCCGGTGCCTCCCTATCTATCTAAAGTCATTCAGACGTTTGATGGAACTCTAGTTCAAGAATATCTATTCATTTCTGTGGTAATTGGTCAGGATGCCAGTTTGTAAATCTTTTTTTTTTTTCTTTTCTCATTTGGCTGTGTTCTCTCTGTTTCATGTTTAAAAGAGAAACGTTTTGTAGTCCTCTTTGTTTTGTTTTGTTTTTTTTAAAGAGATGAGCAATTTTGAAAGGCACATTCAAAATTCCAATTGCTTTTTGAAGCTTTAATTTAAAAAAATCTACATAATTAATGAAACAGCCTCGCTAAAAAAATGTTCAAAGAGCGAAAATGTTTATATTTCCCCTCATTTCTCATTATGGGCCTGGTGATGCAGCGAAGGTATTTCAATTGAGACGAGACTCATTTGAACGAGCAGAAGAATAGAAATGATGGCGTTGGTGTTCTTGGAACATGCTGATCGTTAAAGCTCGTTTAATTACAGACAAAAAATAAATAAAACCCACCACTGGGAGACCGGGATGGCCAAGCCTTCTGCTTCTTTCCCCTGAATTTTTTATTTGGTGGTGTGGAAGGAGATCTGCTCTGCCTCCTGGGACAGTCCTGGTGGCCGAGACTGGTACTGTGGGTACTGGCTGGTCTTCCAGATCCCCTCATTTGGTTCAGGGAGCGTGACCTGAATCATATTCAGACCTGCAGGACAGACCAAAGTGCCTCCATTTTCAATTATATTACATGAAACACCCCTTTAATCTGGGACTGTGAACCCGCTGAGATCTGACCAGTCACAGCTTAAAGCTATAATATATTATTTTGTATATTTTATTAATTATTTTTAATGAACAATGATTGATCTGGGGATTTGAACCCAAAACATCCTGGCATCTTGTGTTCAGAGAACCCCCTTTTCCGTGTCTGTTTTCGTTTGCCCTATGGAGTCTGATCATGGATGCCAGCCCGGTGGAGTCGATCATGTAGACTGTTGCAGGGTGATTGGCGTGCTCAAGGAGCAGATCAGGCAGATATGGCGTTAAATCCCACAGACGCCGATTCCCCCTCGCCGAGTGACTTCGATTAAACCGCTTAACAAAAAAAAACGTAAGCTCTAGTCCGCTTGGATGTAAATGTCAGCAGAAATTTAAGAAGTAAAGGCAGCACTTCTAAGGACGCTTGTGTCCGAGGGCAAATACTTATTTTG